TAGCCTTGATTTTTTTGGTAGGAACACACAAGACTAGAAACATGGAAAGGTGCTGGATATTTGATGTTGCCTGGTGAGAACTCCAGCAACACAAAATGTGCTCAAAGAATGGTCCCACGTGGGCCTCAGTGATGGACGCTTCCTGGCTTCCTCCTTCTGGTGCCAATCGTGCACTCTGGGAAGTCAATCACCAACCAGATTTCCCTTTTCTTCGGTCTGTTCGGTGGTCGTCAGATGTGAAAATCCACAAGTGGAAAGAACAGGAACGGTGGACGATTGATGGTCCTTAATGAGGAGCCCACAGTTTCTTTAATCCAGGGGGGCCAGAGCACGTGGAGTGGGGCCCCTCCTTTCTGCTCAGACCCTCCCAGACCTGCACCCCCTGGAGCAATGCCCACAGAGCCCTCTCTCACAAAGAAAGGCAAGAAGCAGGTGGGCCCCTTGAAGGTCAACAGTGGTGGGAAACAAGGTGGCCTCTGGGCAATGAGCAGTGCCGATCCTGTGTCTGTGAATAATAAAGACAACTGAGCTGACTGACACGATGAAAATTAGAGTGAATTAATCCTTTCACCATTTAACGTTGCTTTTAGTAGGAAACTACGTTACCACTTAAGAGAAGCAGACAGGCTTGGTAAAATCCCTCCCATCCCAGAATACTGAATTCAACTCTGCTCTATTTAGAAAGGTGTCAGGGAGTTTTGAGGGCCTAAATGCTTAGAAACATGCACATATTGGTGAAGAGGGAAAAGGCATCAGAGCGGATAAAACAGAGTCAAGAGCCAACGTGCTGAGATCCACACACTTGATTCTGCAGGAAAGGCCTTCCCTCACGGCTCAGTCATTCTTCCTTTCCTTTGAGTTCGTTTTAGTTTCGTGCACAGCCTTGAGACCTTAGCAGTTAAGCACAGCAAGTCAGAAGGGTGGTTGACACCATCAGGGGCAGAGCAGCGAAAGCAGAGACCAACGGGTTGAGAAACTAATGGTCAGGGGAAGAAACAGGAAAGAGAAAGGCAAACTAAAATCACTACAGTTTGGCCCATTTAGTGTAGAGATAAGGCGCCCCGCAGTTTTCAATAGCCACTTCACGCGTCCATTCATCCACCCATCCAAGCTGTATGGAACGCCTGTTGTACGGGACAGGCCCTTGGTTTCAGACCACAGAATACATTCTAGGTTGTTCAAGTGGAAGGGGATCCAGGAGAGGCAGCTCACAGAATATGTAGTAAAACCAGAGGGAAAGGTTCAGTGCTACACAGCCATGGACAACAGCAGCCAGGTTTTAAAAAAAATCAGAAGAAACTCAGGCTGTTCTAGGAGGATTCTCCCTGCTTCTGCTGCCCCACACTCAGCACCTCGGATGGGATGACACCTTGGACCGGACATGAGAACCCCGCCCCCCAACGCCTCCAGCGCTGTGCTTGCAGGAGAAGCATGGCGGCTGCCTCGCCTTGCTCACGTCTTCCTCCCAAGACTCTCGCACGGAGGTCTCCTGGACAGAGGCCAGGCTGCAGCCCAGCTGCAAAGACATCCAGGAAACGCAGTTGTTCTCCTCCTTGCCTTTACAGCACAGAAGGGCAACTCCATGTAGTATGAGGGGGTTCAGATGAGTGTGGAGCCAGCCAACCCACAGCACGCGCCTTGGTCTGACCTCTGGCCCCTCTCATCCACACGGACCCCGCTTCCCACACTTAACTTCCAGACGACAGCAGCAGCACAGCTTGCTCCCACCCGGCACAAAGCAAGTCCCTGCCACACGGGTGGAAATATGTTCATTCTCTGCCTTCACCTCCACCCTACTCCTGCCAAGTCCCTGCAGTCACTGCGAACCTCTAGGTGATGTCTGCTCCCTCAGTTAATCCCAGTTCATCTCCGTATCCTATGCACTAGAATTAGAAAGTTAACTGGTACCAACTTGCCCTGAATAAAATAGTAGAAGAAAAGGAAGGAGGAAATGTTGGTTACATATAATTGTATATACAACTGGGTGAGGAAGAAAAGTTGGGGAGCTACTCTAGTCCTGGGTTCTCCAGCTGGTCACAAGGCAATGGTTGTATTTGTCGTTTTTTATTCTACTCCCCATTCGGTCTTCCTTTTGTCCTCAGTCAGCACCTCAACTTGTCAAGATTCTGCACCTGCTGATGTGAGCCAAACTGTCTCCAATTCCTGCCAGGTGTGAGCACTTCCTGATCCTGCAGATAGAAGACGCTTTCGTCTTCTTAAGTAAGATTTGCCATTGAACATGCCAGTATTAGAAGGCACTGGCAGGGATGGTCCGGGTTCCCAAATACTTCTCCGTAATTCCACTGTGAACCAGCAGCTCTATTTCTCCCTGATGAGCTAACATGGTAATGCTAATGCCTGTTTTGGGGTTTCTTTGGCCGGTTTGTCCAGTGGCATTAGGAGCCCCATGTAGCCTGAGAGCAATCTTAATTTCTTGTTCAACAGTCATTGTTGTTCCTTGGGTGAAAGCGTTTATTTATTTTTTAATGGCGGCACTGGAGATTGAACCCAGGACCTCGTGCATGCTAGGTACGCACTCTACAACTGAAAGCACTCGTTCTTTGACTACCAAGCTCTCTAACCTAGTAAAACCCAAAGTTGTGGTGGAGGAAGCAACATTTTTTCACCTCGGTGACAAGGTGTGATTGATCCCAAGAGCTACTACTCCCACCTCCGTTCTTTGGTCGTAGCTACAGAAGCAGCAGGACCGCGTGCCGGTCAGGGACTGGGGGCATGTATCACGCCCTGTAACTGCACCCCATCCTCACCAAGTGTGGCCTGCTGGCTGGTGGAAGAGCAGGCATCCCCAGTAACCACTCCTGCTCTGAGGACCACTGTTTCTAGGAAGTGGAGAAAGCTAAGGGCAGGCAATTGTGTGCTCATTTCCTTATTTATTTACATCTATTGGTTTAATAAATAAATGTATTTATTTCAGCACAATAATCTGAAGCCATCTGGTATGGGTTACGATGGTGGGAAAATAAGGCACTCAGTCAATCACACACGACGTGGCCGGAGGAGCATGGGTGCGAGGAGGGTGGCTCCGCACCCGGAAGAGGTGGCTCATCCAGGGAGGACACAGCGCTGCTCCCTCCACGGGGAGGAGGGTCCAGTGTGACTGACCCATCAACTCGTTACTGACTGAGCCCCTGGGACACGGCACCGTCCTGGGGGTTCAGTATTGTCTCCCCCATGACAGTGGCCACAGGAAAAGAGGAGACTCACGTGGTTGAGCCCAGGTGCAACTTCCATTTTTGCCCCTGGGGCACCTGGTTTATGAACCCAGCTGGGAGATCAGCTGACTGACATCCGTAGAGCAGACCCATCTCATTACTGACGACCTCCTCAGCACCGAGTGTTCTCTGGTCACATGAGACACGAATATCTGTTCCCTTTGGCGTGCTCTGAAAAGTCCATCCAAAATACCTCTTCCCCGAAACTCCTCACTCGTCTCCAAATCTTGTTCTTTTCAAGTCAAAACATTTGTCTCTGCCCTACAGAAATCCAAGAGCTGTTTCTCAGAAACAGAAGAGTTACCTGCGAAAGCATCATGCCTTTACTCTAGAAGCCTGGAGGCACAAGCTGTCACCTTCCCGCTGCAGCCTGCCCCGGGTTTCGGCAAGGATCCCACGGGCCATGGCCATATAGGCCACAGGCGCTTGGAGCAAATCTACCGGATCAGAAGGAGCAGTGATGTGGCTGCTTCCCCTACAACCTGGACCAGTGGCCGGACCCCACGTAAAACTGGTAGCTTCCTGGGTGACTTGGTAAATGAATCAGAGATGCAAACTCCAATGTGCTGTATGTTC